TTATATCTATCCCGCCCACCTAGACCAAAGATCTACTCTTGTATGCCTTTCTAGCAGTCCAAGAATACCAGTAAATCTCTCCTCCAGAGCCACATTTCAAACAAATCAATTTTTTTTCACGTCAGCTTTCTTTACTGTTGAGCTTTCATACTGATATATGGTGTGAAATCCTCTTGATTTTTGTCTCATTATTCTCAGCTGACTTTAATCAGTACTCACTTAGCAATACATTCGGCCAAACAGGTGTAATAAAAAAAAACATTTATGAGACAACAGAGAATTTAGACCAGCAACCAGCCATCAAGAAACCAGAAGGACCGCCCCTGCTTTAACTAATTTCTTAAAAACAGAGATTGGAGGGTTGAACCTCTCTTGGAAGTTAGTTTGAGAGCTATGGGGTCACAACCCCCAAAGCCCCGTTCCTGATATTCACTCCTTTGGCCTCCTTACGTGTCACTATTTTTAACATTGTGAATGGCGCAGAGCAAGAGGGACGAGTAGCTGTTTTGTAGGCAAGACATTCGGAGAGGTGTTTAGTTTCTAAATTGCTATGGGTGATGACCAGCACCTTGAATTGAGCACGGAAACGGATGGGGCAAACATAGGCAGGCCAAGACAGTGGACATGTGATTGAATTTGCTAGTCCTAGAAATCAGTCTGGCCATCACATTTTGGACCTGCTGAGGTTTTTGTACTGTTTTCAAGGGCAGCCCTAGGTAGAGAGCATTGCGGTAGTCAATTTTTGAGATTACCAATGTGCGAGCCAGTGTTAGGCATTTCTTATCTAGATAGAGGTGCAACTGGGCAATCAAGTGAAGTTGATAAAAGGCACTCCTGGCCATAGTGAAAATTGGAGTCTCCATAGGGCAGTGGTTCCCAACCTTTTTCAAGGAACAAACTCCATTTATAATAGCCAAGTAAGTTGCAACCCCCCCGCCACACACACACATCACATTTGCATAAAATGGCATTTTAACAGGCTAGAATTATCCCTTAGATAGTAGTCTTTTTTCTTCCCCCAAAGGGCCTGCTGACTTTATTATCTCGCTCTGAAATTTCAAGGAGGAAATTAAACAAGGGCTACAACACATAAAAGGTGACCTGTGACTCCCCCAGAAAGCACTTCACAAACCCCTTAGTGAGTGCAGGGTCCAGGAGCAACCCCAAGCTGTGGGCCTGATCTTTCAGAGGGAATGTAACCCTATCCAGGCCAGGTAAATTTCTGTCTAACCAGTGTTATGATCCTGCTGACGGCAAGACCTCCATCTTATCTGGATTCAGTTATCGATGAACCCAAACAGCATCCTCTGCAGATGAAGCGAAAGAGATAGAACTGCATGTCATCAGCATATTGGTGACCGCAAACTCAAAAACTTCAAATGACATATCCTAGTGGCCTCATACAGGTATTAAAAATCATTGGGGAGATAAACCCATAATGGAGGTCCCAAGGGGTAGAGACTGCATCTCCAAGCTGTATCCTCAGGGATCAGCCATTGAGGAAGGACCAGAACTAGTGAAGAGCAGAGCCCCGATCCTTAAACTATTATCTTCCCAGAAGGATACCTTTTGTGTCAGGAGAGCACAAGATTTACATTACACTGAAGTGGCACACATGAATGTGTAGAGAGACTTCTATTATGCCATGGGATCCCACACACATAGAAATAAAAGAGTTTCCAAAACCTTAAGTCAAAAAACTATTTCATGAAACCCAATTTCTTTTATTTCCAAAATGATTTCTCAGATTTGATCAAAATCTCACAGAACTTTCAGTGCTTTTTTATTTCTAAAATAGCAAAAGTTCCTGCAAGACAGCACCTTGAATATTACATGCACTGCAGTGGTCTGAACTGGGCAATATGTCCATGGCTTTAGAGGTATGGTTTGTTAATCTACACATACTTTCATGTGTGTCCAAGATAACACTGGGGCGATAACTTTCCCAAATGTGGCTCCTAATATAAACTGCAGAGCTGCTTTTAGAGGCTGTCCAGAGAGGCATATCGACTGATACTATAGGTTGTGGTTGGTTCAAACCAAATGATGGCGCCCAAACATGTTTCCACTTAGATTGATCAATCCTGCTCTCTTAAGAGCTGTTGTGAACCTTTTTTGGCACATTAACAGGGCATGGAGGCTGATGCATTTGCCATTTGGATTTGTCACCCTGAATGATGGCTGCAAGAAAAGGCAGGGAAGGGGGCTGTGTTGAATCCATGGGTACCACCCCCACAAGGAAGCACAGCCCCAGCAGAGCCCCAGTAGAGGAGAAAGGTGGGGAAAACATGGGGGGTTTACTTCCCCAACCTTAACCCCAACATTTCTACCATGCTCTGCTGCTGTCCTCAGCTGCTGTCACTCCCTCCTTAATCATGAGTAAATTGAGTAAGCCTTGCTTTGTGTGGACCTGTAGCACAATGTCCAGTATGGATGGAAAGACTGCTCAAGTGAGAGTTGAAACAGACCCCGCTTAAGAACATTTTAATCATGACTTGGGCTGCACCGAATTCCCCAGCATTGACATGTCTTTAAGACAGGCTTTATCCCCTGCAGTACCTTGCTCATTAAATTGTCGAAGTCAAGTCAAATATTTGGAACGGATAACTGTCCTTTCCTTCCCCTCCTTGTCCTTGCTGTCCTCTGCAAGTTGGGGACCAGGGTCTCCGCAGTGGCTAGTCTTTTCTCAAGCCCCTCATGACCTTTGCAAGGCTGCTTCCAGATCATATGGAGAGCACAGCAAGTTGGAGTAATTGCCTACTGCGCATGAATGCTCTCCACCTGGTGGCAGAGCGATCATATATCTCTCAGATATTCCTCTTTGGAAATTGTGTTAACACTGTCTTGCTACATGAGAAGAGCTACACATATCCCACCCACACATGCAGAGAGAGAGAGAGATAAAAGGAAAAAGCATAGTGGGAGCAATACCAGTCTGTGATAAATACAAAAAAGCACTTCCTCCCTGTATTGACATGTGAACACATACATGCACACCCATTTATTTGTGTGTGTTTAGTCGTTTAGTCGTGTCCGACTCTTCGTGACCCCATGGACCAGAGCACGCCAGGCCCTCCTGTCTTCTACTGCCTCCCGGAGTTGTGTCAGGTTCATGTTGGTTGCTTCGCAGACACTGTCCAGCCATCTCATCCTCGGTCGTCCCCTTCTCCTCTTGCCATCACACTTTCCCAACATCAGGGTCTTTTCCAGGGAGTCTTTTCTTCTCATTAGATGGCCAAGCATAGCAAGTTGGAGTAACTGCCTATTGTGAATGCTCTCCACCTGGTGGCAGAGTGATCACATATCTCTCAGATATTCCTCTTTGCAAATTGTGTTAACACTGTCTTGCTACATGAGGAGAGCTACACATATCCCACCCACACATGCAGAGAGAGAGAGAGATAAAAGGAAAAAGCATAGTGGGAGCAATACCAGTCTGTGATAAATACAAAAAAGCACTTCCTCCCTGTATTGACATGTGAACACATACATGCAGCACAACCATTTATTTGTGTATGTGGAATTCCATCTTTTCACATAGAGAAAACAAGAAGTATTATAATAACCAGTGCAAAGAAATAGAGAACAGTAAAGGGCTGGGGGCGGAGGTGGGGTGGGACAAGAGGTATATTCCAGAAGATTCAAGCAAACAAAGGATATTTAAGCTTAGATTAGGAATTCTGAAAGACCAACATGGAAGAACACTATTTGACTAAGAGAAAATAAAGAGAGGGTGAAAACGGTATACTGAAGACCTACCTATACAAAAGAGATGAAAGGATGATAGACTATTTTAAAGTGAAGAACCTGCAGTTTTAGAAAGTGAAGTGAAAACTGCTCTGAAAGCACTAGGAAGAAATAAATAATCAGAGTTACATGGACTGTTGATAGAACTATTGAAAGCCACACAGACTGTCAAAATCCTAACCAGAATATGCCAATAAATATGGAAAAGAAAGCAATGGTCCACAGACTGGAAGTGTCAGATAAGCGTGCATTTTATCTTGTTACCTATTTAGTCTTTATGTGGAACATATACAGAAAGTCAGGCTATATTCCAATGAGGGAGGAGTGAAAACTGGTGGAAGAAATATAAATTATTTAAAATACACAGATTACACCACTTTATGACAGATTGTTATTATCCCAACATATATGTCTGGCTAGAACAATGAAGAGGACCTTAAAGCATTTTGTCCTTCATAGATCTTGAAAACCCATGGAGAAGATCTCCTTTTTGGAAACCATCTCAGCAAAGCAGAGAGGTTCAGTTGCTTGAACTTTTTGAGCTAATTCGCATGAATGTGACTGGGGAAAATGCATTTCTCACCGGATTTCAGGCAAGCAAAGACAGGCCTTCTAATATTTGCCCTGCTTAAAAAACAATGACACGTCCCCACTGTCTAAGATCCCTAAACTGCCCAATTCACACCCACCTAGGATTACGAAATGGCATGCATGATATAGAAAGACGGGGGGGGGGGGGCCTGGGGGA